AAATAAAATAAAGCGTGATATGTTCTAAATTTAACTAATTATCATTTAATTAGATGCATTTTTACAGTTTAATTAATAATAATCATTCCAAACCGGTTTTCCACATATTGGTTTATAAGTTATAATATAAGTAGGTAATTCACGCCCGTGTTCCGTTTCCAAAACACTCTTTTGAAAACTAAATAACTTTAGTAGCCATAGTACTTTTGTATTAACTAGAAAATAATTCTGTATTTAAATAACTAAAAAAATAAAATTGACCATCGTAGGAAAAAGTACCTCCGCCATTCTGATGACAAATTATAAATTGCGTTAAGCACACTATCACATTGAAAATATTTTTCCCATTTAACAAACCCCATATATTTTGGAAAAAAGCTAGTTGCACATCAATGATTAATGGTATCCCTTATTTTTTAAATATTAAAAAGGGCAACTGTTATCTCTTCTTTCGTCCGTCCGTCCGGACCCAGTTCTGCGGTTCTGAACTACGTTTAGGAGAATTGTCTTAGAGTAAAATTTGCAAAAAGTTCCTGTTTGAAGAAAGTTGCCTTGGTTGTCCATATTGGTTCGAACTATCGAGACGGCCTTTTTGATTTAAATCATCTAATTCATCCTCCAATCACATCTGATAAACAAGTTTAAAGAGATCGTTAGCAAACAACCTTGCTTATCCATCTTCCAGTACACGGATGGTATCTCTATGATTAAAAGCAATCATAAGAACTCTAAAAAATATATTTGCTGATTATTATATGTAACCTAAAAGGTTGTTCGATATTTATAAATAAAATTTACAAAAAGTTCCTTTTTGAAGAAAGTTACCTTGGTTGTCCATATTGGTTCAAACTATAGAGACGGCATTTTTGATTTAGAATCATCTAATTCCTTCTCTAATCACATTTAAAAAACACCAAGCACGAAGAGATCTGAAAAATGACTGAACTCACTGTGTTTTAGTAAGCTAAATCCATTTTTTTTGGATTATTTGTTATACGATCCCGCTAAATAAAGCAAAATGGGTAATGTGTAAAAACGTATTGACTTAATAAAATGCGAAAAAAAAATGCCTTTTAAAAAGCCCTTGTTGAATCTTTACTGTACATCAAATTTTGGAAAGCAAAAATAGATTGCAACGCAATTATTGTTGTCTCCGTTTTTTTCTACCATTGCTTTTCGCTCTTAAACCTTATCGAAATCCTACGCCAAAAAACTCGTCTCCAACCCTAGAATATTCAATCTCGAAAGATTCGACTCCGAAGATAATCCGTACAGTGAGCTCAAATTTAAAAAAATTGTAAAAAGTTGTTAAGCTATCTTTTGTAATTAAACGCACAAAAAATCTTAAAATTGATTTTCTTTAATTTTATTTCTAGCAACAAATTCCTACAAATAAAATGATAGATGAACGCCTGCCAATATTATCTAAAATATAAATATGTAATTAAGATAATGTTGAGCAATTAAAGGTAAATTAAGAAATCCTTTATATCCAAAAAAGATTACTATTATATAGAAAGGTAATGACATCCGTTGTATTATTTCAATACAAACAAAAATCTACCCTATCTATTATGTTACAAAGCAGACTAATTTAATGAGATTTAAATGTTTGATAATTGGCATTCTTTTGTCTAATTTGAATTATGTTCCCTCCGAATTAATGAAAGGTATTAAACACTGATTAGTGTTCTAATGCCCTCTGAACTGAACGGTTATTTGTCTGTTTCTTGAAAAGTTTGGTGCTCTTTCCTTATACTTTGGCGGGAATACGGATTTTGTTTTTTGGTTAATGAGTATAGTAGTGTTTTTTAAATTTTTTTAATCTGCTATTTGACCACGTAATGTGTTGTACTTGTACCTATATGAAATAGTTTTGAACTTTGAAGAAGATGGATATCTACAACTGTTGTTGGTGTTCAGAGAGCGTAAGTGTTTAAATTTTTACCGCATTTTTCAAAAATGGATTATGACGTCCGTCGTTTGAGGGACGAGGTCTCAACTATGGGAAGTAGTGTAAAAGCCGTTTATGTCTACTTTGTAGGCCCCCTATTAGTGAGGAAAGAATTGATTTTTTCTTAATCACTTCGGGATGATGTCCAACTTTGTCCAAATTTCGTAGAGGAATCGGCAAAACATATTGACTTAATGCACAGGAACTAGATTTTGTGATCTTTTTGTCATACTCCGCCTTTAGTTAAGTTAGTAGAGAAAAATCTTCCTTCATTCATTAGTTTTGTCGCAGAAACTGAAAAATGTATTGACCTAATGCACAATAACTAACTTAGTTTTGGTAAATTTTGTTAAAAACGCAGCAAAAAAGCGCTACCGCAATAGGCAGGGGCAAGAAATTAACCCATATGTGAAAAATGCCTGTCATCGTCCGCACATGATTTAATTAATCAGTTGATAGCTTCGCACATTTACACATTTGTGCAAAATTTTCAAACTTCTTGAATATCTACTACGTTCAATTACGGTTTCTACTACGTACACGTCTCTTTTGAAACGTACCTATCACCCCAAATGCCCTATTTCATTTCCAACGGGGCCATTTTTGGGACTGCTGCTTGCTGCCGTCAAATTAAGGATTAAAATAAGCACTTTCGTCCCGTGGTATATAATATACTAATTCCTGACGAAAACTTCTTTGACGTTCCTGAACCTATACACTTACTGCATTCTTGTCATTTATGAAGATTTCGGAAGATGTACAACAATTCGAAAACTTACCTTGCAGATTTATTCAAGAATATTGTATAACTCAAAAGGATGTATCTATTTTGATCAAGCAAGTCTTTTGGTTTTCGATAATGTGGTCACCGATAACCAGCCACCAGTTTCACGAGAAGGGTGGTGGTAAGTTTTTGGCGATTTATTATAACCAATGATATTAGGTGGTCTGGAAATGATTGTTTACGTAATTCGTACCAGTTTAATGTTTTGGATTAAACGACTACCATGGCCCAACTTAAAAAAAGTGGTAAACCATGTAAATTGAATTATACAGATTTGTATAACTCAATAGGTTGAATCTATTTAGAATAAGCAAGTCTTTTGGTTCCTTGTACTGTGGTCGCCGATGACCATTCAGCAGTTTCACGAACGAGGGGTCTGATTATAAGCTTCTGGCAATTCATTAGAATCAGTAGCTTTCTATTGATATTCTGTAGCCTGGTAATGAATGTTTAGATAGTTTGTACCAGCTTAATGTTTTGGATTAATCGACTACCATGGTTCAACTTTTCAAAATATGGTAAACTACGAAAATTCAATTATACAGATTTGTATAACTCAACAGGTTGTATCTATTTAGAACCAGCAAGTCTTTTGGTTCCTTGTACTGTGGTCCCCGATGACCATCCATCAGTTTCACGAAGTGCCCGATGCAAAGTTTTTGGTGATTTATTAAAACCAGTAGCTTTCTATTGATATTCTGTAGTCTGGAAATGAATGTTTACGTAATTTGTACCGGTTTAATGTTTTGGTTTAATCGATTACCATGGTCCAACTTTTAAAAAAATGGGTAATTATGAAAATTGAATTATGAAGAGTTGTATAACTCAACAGGTTGTGTCTATTTAGAATAAGCAAGTTTTTGGGATTCTGATACTGTAGTCGTCGATAACCATCCAGCAGTTTCACGTGGTGCCTGGTTCAGTTTTTGGGGATTTATTAAAATCAATAGCTTTCTAATGATATTCTGCAGTCTGGAAATGAATGTTTAGGTAATTTGTACCAGCTTAATTTTTTGGATTAAACGACTACCATGGCCCAACTTTTCAAAAAATGGGTAATTATGAAAATTGAATTATGAAGAGTTGTATAACTCAAAAGGTTGTGTCTATTTAGAATAAGCAAGTCTTTCGGATTCTGATACTGTGGTCCCCGATAACTGTCCAGCAGTTTCACGAGGAGCGTCGTGATAAGTATTTGGCGATTTATTAGAACCAGTAGATTTCTAATAATATTCTGTAGTCTAGAAAGGAACGTTTAGGCAATTTGTGCCAGCTTTATGTTTGGGATTAATCGATTACCATGGCCCAAATTTTCAAAAAATGGTAAACTATGAAAATTGAATTATGCAGAATTGCAAAACTGAACAGGTTGTATCTATTTGCACAAGCATGTCTCTTGGTTCCTGATAATGTGGTCTCGATAACCATCTAACAGTTTTCGAAGTGCCTGGTGATAAGTTTTTGGCGATTTATTAAAACCAGTTAGGTTTCTAATAATATACTGTAGTCTGGAAGTTAATGTTTCGGTAATTTGTACCAGTATAATGATGTGGATTAATCGACTACCATGGTCCAACTTATATTATTGTATAGATCTACCACCATTAACTAATTAAAACTTCCTTGACTACTATTTTTTAAATTGTGGCGAGAATTGGCCGTTATGCTATACAATTTCCAAAATAAATGATCATCATCAAATTCATATCAGTAATAGAAATCAACATAATCGATTTTGACTTTGCTATCAATCAACATCCTTAATCCTTACACGTGTAATTCATAAATTGGGTTTCAAATACCAAAATTACGAATAAAAAAATAATCTTACAGTGTACAATGTGGCCAAACTTACTTTTAATTTTAGGAGTCGTTTGAAAGCATGCAATAATGTCACCTTATAAACAAATCCAATTAACGATCAGCGTAATTAAAATGACGCGCAAAATCTAACTGCAGTAGGGAGTTGATCATGTTCTATAAATTTAAAAGGGTAAATATGCAAAGACGTATACTCAAAGGTTACCTAACAAATTTTTTCTAACGGTCAATGTTAGATCGATCTTCCTTACAAACGCCGCTAAAAAGTTCAGTAGTGTTCGACTCTTTGGAATTATAAAGTAACCTTAGGAATATTAGCAAAATAACCTTTTATATGAAGTGCTCATTGCAATGCGAAAGCTTGTAATCGATTCATTTTAGGGAAAATTGCGTTTGTTAACAAAGACGATAAACGATGTCCTTTAAACGAGAAATATAATTTCTAGCAACTCGTCGACAAAATAGAAGTACGTAGGTAGACAACTGGGGTCATAAAAGGGGAGCTATAATCGGTGAGAAGCGGTTGACCTTGCCTGCAATGCACGCTAAAATTCCACGGTGCCACAACGTAAATGGTGCCAGTTAGACAATTTGTAAATATTTCCGACCGCAGCGCCGCCTTAAGACATACGCGTGTAACCAAAATCGCGATTCTATAGGTATATGGTCAAAGTGGCACCCTCGCCATACTTCGTTTTTAGAGTCCCATAGGGTGCCTGAACGTAAATATAGTCGAAAACGTTGTGGCACCTTAAATTGGTGCCACTACGCATATATGGGTGCCACAACGTCTATATATGCTCATTATTGGTGCCACTTGAACGTGTTTCCTATATATATATATATACGCAATAAGTAGTCACTTCCGTTACACAAACTGGGCGACCTGACTTCCACCAAAAGAAATACACCTAGATTTTTTTTCAGTCTATTAATAAGTTTAGGGGGATGTGCTTTATCAAGTTTTCTAAAGAGGGGAAGCGATTTCGCTTGTTTATTTTTAATATATATAATATATAACTGCAGTCATATTCTCTACCAATTCACTTCCGGTAAATGTGTAATATCTCTCTCGTTGTCACTTCCGGCGATGTTGCCACTACCTTTACTACTAACATTTGGGTAAATGCATTAACGTTTTACTCTATATTTTATAGTGAGTGTCATAATTAATTATTTTGGTGTCAACGAACATATCGCAAGGTAAGTGTAGGTACATGGGTTCAAGATGTACTGAGTCGATTATTGTATGGGATACTAATGTGAAGTGCATTTTCTAAGTTGCACATAATGATAAATTAAAAAAACGTTTCACCAAAATTTTTTTCACGTTTATAGGACTGTGTTCTACTGATTGGCCCACATTTCGTTATCATAACTGCAGTAGTGCTGTAGTCTATGTTTTGCAATGATTATGGTAAATTTGATATATCGCCATCCCCTAATCCAAACGGCTTTTGCATTGTAGAATTTTGTATGATATTATTATTTCTGCTTGGCTTTGTATTTATTAAGTTTTGTCCTATAATTGGATTTTTTTTCTGTTTGGGCATATATATTATTAATTGTTCTTTTTATTTATTATATTTTTCTCCATTTATGGCACTGTTCAGGCGTGCGGCAACAGCGACGGTCATTGGCACACCATGGGGGTAAGTTCTATATTTCATAATTTATAGGCATGTGTTTAGATTTTGTTTATGTTGTTTATAGTTTTTATATACTTAAGGACGTTTTTTTAGGTTAGAGTCGGATAGTGTAGTCGCTACATCACCTTTTATGCGCTTCATTCTGCGGTATTGTTCTAGCGTAGGGCATGATTCCAATATATGGGCATTGTTAGTGTATGATTATTATTATCATTACCATTGTCATTATCATGATCATCATCATGATGATTATCATACCATTATCATTGTCATTATTATCGTCATCGTCATGATCATTATCATCATTATCGTCATCATCATTATCATCATCCTCATCGTGATCGTAGTCGTGGAACATGATCATTATCATTATATTTTAATTTTGTCATATTTTTCTCCGTTAATAGCCCTGTTCCGGCGTGTGTTGACAGCGACTGTCATTGGAACACCGTGGAGTGGAGGTAAGTTCTACATTTGTTCTTTTTATTTTATTTAAAAGGTTTTATTTTTAAGTGACCACAGCTGCTTTACGAACTCAACTTAACTTAAACTTCAGACCTAGAAGGACCAATAAAAGCTATAGCATATCCTGTTTAACACATCAAGGTTTCATACTATGATGCACGTGGGTAAGTCAAATTATGCCATTCGTTTTGCAGCTACCTATGTGTTGAAGATCTAGGTGCGTATCTACCAAATGTATATCAATCTACTTACTACCGCATAAGGTCTGTCGACTGTAGGTGCACAACATTAATTGTACTTAACTAGTAATAAAACAAACATTGTGGAAGAATAAAATAAAAATGTATTCTATTACGTAAAATAAAGGTAACATTTCTTGTAGTTTATAGTCCTTTTTTAGTTTTAATCAAATGTTGTAGCTTTGATTTGGTTACAATGACGCTTCTGTTTATTCCATTTCTTTCAAGAAATTCCTTTATGTCGTTCCCTGCTGGATAGGTACCTTTATTAATGTAGACACTGAACTCTTTTTTTAATAAATGAAGTTCCCGATTAGACCAATCTGGAAATTTAAATGTAGTAGTTAGCAAATTATGCTAACACTTACAGGTTCTCTGTCCACTTCTCTTTGGAACTTCAGCTACACTATCAGCGTCAATTAAATCTGAAAGCGATACCTATGTATATTTGGTTTCTTACTTCATAATCGAAAGTACCTGATGGTCTGTCCTGTACTATCCGAGATGTTTTTGGTGACGCATGGATCGGTAAATCTGAAAAAAAAATGTGTTTGGCTTAGTTTAATAGATATTTATGTATCAAGTACGCAAAATACCGTTTGAGCGAACAAATCGGTATTAAAGACGAGGCGACAGAGGAGCCGAGTCTATAATGAGATAAGTGCGCTAAAACGTTTTGCGTACGTGGTACATACAAAATTTTTTGGTAAAAGCTCTAAAAAAATAGTCTAAACTCTACCTATATGTTCTATCTGAAGTTATCACACTTTAAGTAGGCCGTTAAAGATTTATTTTGCGGACTCAAATGGATACGGAAAGTAACAATTTTGGAGAGCGTGTACCAAAAATTTATTTAGGTACCTACCTGATGGTATTTGCGGTACTGTCCGAGACCTTTCATTAGCTGCAACAGTTATATCTGAAAACGATATCAATTACATTTAAATTTCAATAAATGCTAGTTGGCAATGGTACCTGATGATAATTCCTCTTGGGGAGAGGAACCTAAAAGTATTAAATGTATAGATAAGTATTGTTTTAAATTAAGGGCCAGTTGTATAACGTCTGGTTGAACTTCCGGTTGAAATCAACCTGCGGTTGAACGTCAGTGATTGGATAAAATGTCAGCCATGATGAAAATAAGGCCCATGATTGACGTTCAACCGCAGGTTGATTTCCACCGGAGGTTCAAACTGACATTATACAACCGGCCATAAGAGAAATCCATTCCGCTACTACTGAAATAAAAATAACCGATCCAAAAAGCCGAAATATCCATCTATCAATACATTTATTCGCCAAATAAATTCCTTAGTTACGATTGTGCTAATGATGGCTTTATTGGTAGAATAGGTTATAGGTGATGGATATCTCGGCTCTTTAAAGAAATAGCATTTCTACTTACAGGGACTTCGATTTTCTCGATCATTCACATCTGAAAGTTCATAATATAGGTAAGTAAATGAAGGTTGTGGAAACAAAAAATAATACCATTAAATCCTGTATTTACAATCTCAATAGATCTTTCGTTTGCATAAAATCCTGGAGGCTCCTCACTTCTTTTATTTATTGTGCCTATAAATATTTTAATGTTTCACAGTAACTGAAATCTACCTAAATTTACCGTCAATTTTGTCTTCCTCCGCATATTCTAGGTTAAAATCTATATTAATCTCTTCCAACGACTTTCCTTTATATTCGATTGGCATAGATCCTTTCTCCATCATCATCAACAATTTTGACACCTTTGCAGTTTGGTAAATGTCAACCGGTAATCTAATACATTTAAAAAAGGTAAGTAGATGATATCTGATGTTTCAGTCGTTGCTTGTTACTTACTCATAAAACTCATCGTGAGTCTTTTGAGTATGCCCCATGAAATTTGCAAACTGTTTTGCCTCTTCTGGTTTTAAACTTAAAATTTGGGTTACAGTGGCAATCTGTTTCCGCAGGTTGTTACTTGAAATAGCTTTAGGGTTTTCAATTTGAATTTTTTTGCACAATGCCCGAATTGCCACATCACCTTTTCCCCATTTAATCGTACTGTCGGGCATGGCAAACACATAGTCATTGTTAGAGTCTAATATGTACTTGTTTCTCTCCGCTAATAAAACATTAATCATGTTTTGCAGTTCTTCAGGTATAAGTATGACAACAGCCCTCGAACCTTTACCGCTGTTGAGTACTCTCTTGTATTTTTGGGTCAATGATCTTTCCACATCCGTAAGTACATGGTCGAAATCTGTGTAGTTGCTCTTTTTATCTGATTTGTAGTCGCTGATCTTAAGATATTGAACGTCACCTATTCGGCGACGATTAAACAAAATTAGTAACGATAAGACACATTGTATTAATAATTTAAATGCGCGTTTATTCTCTTTTAAAAGTAGCTGGGATACGGAGTCATTTGCCAACTTAGTCACTTCGTCTCTAAACTTTTTCACGTCGCTCACCAATGGTAGTAATAGCGGCTTTTTCCAACGCTTTTCTTGAAGATCTTTATTAGCTAAAGACGAAATTTCTATGGTCCATCGCGATTCAACCAGTTTCTTAAAATTCTTAATATTCGTAAGCCAAACCTGGGCATCTTCCGCCGATTTACATCTGAAACCTTTACTTTGTTTTAATACCAGGTGTGTAAGTTCATCGCATGCTAATTTTAATGAGGTTCCTAGATGCATAGCCAAACTTGGAGTTTGAAATGACTTCTTTTCGTGGTCAAAACCACTAATCTTCCGAACTGCCATTAATACAGTATCGAAGTGTTTAGGATGCAATATATCTTTAAAATTAGCTTTATTATTATTGGTTATCATGCGAAAATTTAATAATATCCTTGAAAGTTCACGCATTCTATTACTGCATGAATAGGCCATTCTTTCACGCCTATGTTTTTTTAAATAAGACTCGCCAAAATTGGCTATTAAAAGATCCTTCTTCGCTTCAAAAGCAATGTCATCTGGTTTCATTATGTCAAACACCTAAAAAATCCTTGCTGTAGTCCAAATTCTAAGCTCTAGGAATTTCTTTTCAAGCCATAAATTGATAAATCTTAATATACATGTACAGGGTGTCTCTAAAAGGTCTGTACAAAGCGCTAGCATGGGTTCTTGGTATCAAAATAGGTCAATTTAACCCAACTTACCTCTATCCTTCGGTTAGGCGCTATCGACCGTCAAAGATCTTAAAAAAATCGTATTTTTTATGGTTTTACGGATTAAAGTAAAGTTCGGGATGTGAATGTCTCATGTAAAAAGGGTCTTTATAATATCATTTTTTTAAATTGTAGCTGCTATGTAGATGGTAAAATACTGGCCATCCACATCTAAAGAGGTGTAAAACTTTTTAACGGTCATATTAACAGTTCTGAACTTTTACCCACAGTAAGACAGTTTAGTTTCAAGCATTTTTTGTCTCTTGATGAATTTCATTATCTGTGATGGTTTACGAAAAAAAAAAACTAAAATGATGCACGACATTTACAATAAGTATGAATGTTGCAATAGAAAATATCTGTGCAAGTTGGAAATAGAGGTAGGCTATGAACAATCGCATTGGTAGTGATCCCATTGCCATACATCATACCCCAGATCATACCTAAACTTTTTTTTTTTTTGGTAAACCATCACAGATAATGAAATTCATCAAGAGACAAAAAATGCTTGAAAATAAACTGTCTTCCTGTGGGTAAAAATTCAGAACGGTTAGTTAAAAAGTTTTTTTATTTTACCATACCACCTACACAGCGGCTACAATTAAAAAAATGATATCATAAAGACCTTTTTACATTCACATCCCGAATTTTATTTTAATCCGTAAAATCATCTTCCGATAAAATAAAAAGTACGATTTTTTTTAAAGATCTTTGGCGGTCGATGGCGCCTTACCGAAGCACTTTTGGATAGACGTGAGTTGGGTCAAATCGGCCTATTTTTATAAAGAACCTATGGTAGCGTGTTGTACAGACCTTTTAGAGGCACCCTGTATAGTCTTCGCATACGAGCATTATATGAGCAAACTTATTTTTTATACGTAGATTGTAGATACATTGGCATCTTGTAATGCTTCTCCAAGATTCAAAGAATAATTTTACATATGAAGTTCTCAATTTTTTAGTTTCGATTTTAATAGGGATTTGGTTGAAATATATGGAACTAAAATATATTTCAACCAAATCCCTATCAAATGATAATACCAAAATCTGAAGTTCCTACGTAAAATTTGGTTTCTATGCATCAGAGTTTTGCCTATTCCCCGACCAAGTTGGTAAATAAGTAAATGATGGTTTTTCTTAAATCATCCAAAATTTGTATTTCAAAATTCTTTCTTGCTGCATTTGTGAGAATTTTATACCTAGAAAATTGAATGTTGTTGAGATTTCTAAGAGACACACGCGAAAGGACGGATAAAATACTCGCACCACTGTTTCTTAATCTATGA